AATGCTGAAAGTATCATGGACTGCTAAAAGAACTAACAGATCTGTCCTGGAGGAAGTGCAGCCAGAATGCTCCTTGGAAGCAAGAATGGCCAGACTTTGCCTCACCTATTTTGGTCATGTTGTCAGAAGGGACCATTCCCTGGAGAAGGATGTCATACTTGGTAGGGTGGAGGGTCAACGAAAGAGGAGGAGACCTTCAAAGAGATGGATTGACACAGTGGCTGCGTTGATGGGCTCAAGTATAGCAGGGATTGTGGGGCTGGCGCGGGATCGGGCAGTGTTTCGGTCTGCTGTGCGTTGGGTCGCTATGAGTCGGAAACGACTCAATGGCACTTAACAACAACAACAACAAGGTTTGGAGATTGGGCTAGGGCCAGCATGGGGGTAATGGGCCATCATCAAGTTTTCCAAGATAATGATTTTTCAGTGTTGTTGGGTTTCCAGAGAAGGAGGGAAAGATAACTTATTTATTGTGTGCTATCTATATACTTGATACTTTAAAGAGAATAGGAACTTATTTAATCTTCCAGATAATGCTATGAAATAGGTATTGTTTTTATTGTTTTAGAGATAAGAAACTGAAACTCAAGAGAAGTTTTCTTTCCCTATTCCACACATTCAGCTGAATGGCAGCAGAGTTGGGATTTAAATGCAAGCCTGTAGAACCTAAAGTCTTGCCTCTTTGTCCTTTGATACATGAAAGGAAAATAAAGGCCAGGGCTCCTAGTCTCTTCAACCCATTTACATTTTATAGTACGTGTTTTTGGTTCCCATATCATGTCTCACTGTGATGGTTAATGTTGGATGTCAACTTGGCAGGCTATGATTCTCAGTATTATGTATTTATTCTCAGTTATCTGATGTAAGGGGAATTTCCTTGGAGGTGTGGTCTGCATCCAATATATATGGATGTTCTGGCAAAGCTCATTCTCTATCCTGAATCTGACTTGTTATCCTCTGACTTCTGGTTTTTTGGACATGATCCAGCAGCCTACAGCCTGACATGCAGATTTTGGGACTCACCGGCTCCCACAATCCCACGAGGTAGCAGCCTTCCACTTGATTTTGAGTTCATCAGTTACTGCAACCATGTGAGTCAGAAAAAGTCTCCAGCCTGCTCCTGATGCCTGACACATATTTGGGACTTGCCAGCCTCCACAACTGCATGAGTATTTCCTTGAGATAAATTTCTTTCTGTGTGTGTGTGTATGCTCACTCTCTCTCTCTCTCTCTCTGTGTGTGTGTACACACACACACACACACACACTCTTCATTGGTTTTCTCCTCTAGAAATGTGTGCCTAAGGCACTCATGGACAATGTTTACCTTCACAGTGTCCATGTGTACCCATGGTTTGCCTTCAAATGTCTTTCTTGAGGCCTTCTGTTTATTGTCCCAGGCCTGGGCTGAGCCTAATAACTCTCCCATAAAATTCTTTTCCTTTGAAGATAGAACTCTTTGTTGGATTTTTAAGCAGTTGTATTAGAAATGTTAGAGGAATTTTTAAAATTAAATAGCTCTAAATAAATTATAACTGATTTACTTTTCAGAATATGCTTAGTAGTCTGCTAGTACTTTTCAGAATTTAGGCTGGAAAAAAAAAACAAAACAAAAACCCAAAAACCCACATCCAAACCCATAGCACTCGTCTATAAGGAACTCAAAGAAACCTAAAACCAAATCCATTTTTCTAGATTAAAAGGAACTTAAAACCAGAACTTACAGTTTCCATGGCAAGTGTGACAAAGAGAAAGTGTGCTGCAATCCTGTATTCCCTTAACTGAAATGGAAAATAGTGAATTCTCCTGCACGAGTTGAGTCCCAGATTGTAACCATGCCTCACAAGCCTCTCCCACATTGCTCATTGCCCTCTCAGCTTCAGTTCTTCCTTCTTCAGTTTGAACAACATGAAAAACCTCAAAATTTGTCAGTTGTCTAGGCAACGAATCTATTAGCAAAATGCAATTGTGTCAAAGGTGCCAGAGTACATTAAAGTATGTGGGATCACTCTTGCTTTCACTTGAGGTCCTGCTGATAACACGGAAAATGCCCCAGTGGGAAACCAGAGATTTCCATGAGGAGACACTCTGCACTTGAGCTACCAAAAAGACCTTTTATATAGCAAAGAGGCAATACTCTACTCTCAGTAGTTTTTTCCAGGTCTGAGACCAGTCACTTACAATTCCCGGTCTGGTTCCACTGGCTTCACTTCCTTCCCTTGAGCCATATTCTTCCAGGGCATGAGCTGGGCTTGGAATGTTTGCTGGATGCTCCTCTTTGCTGGTGGGACCTGCTGTCTTCGCCACATCTCCTACAGGCCAGCTGATCTTCAAGAAACTGAGGAGTACCAGGAAGGAACTTTGAATTTATTTCTGATCTGGCCAATGACAGTCCTTTCAGCCAAATGGCCTACTCTTCCTCCACATGTATAATATCAGAGAAAGGGTTTCTCTTTCAGTGTCTGCTCAGAGTGAAGAGATCAGCCACACCTGAAACCCACTTCTGTGGTCCAGATGACAACCACAGAAACATTCTCTGTGACTCTTAAGATAATATTATCTCCTTTCCTTGATAGCTTTATTTTACCTCCATGTTGAGTTGGGGTCATTTCATTGATCTTCTACTCATGATGACCTATGTCTAACTCCAATCTTGTGTCTTTCTATGTGTTAGAATATAGTGAGCACAGTAATTCCCATTATCCTTCAGTTTCACTTTCCACAGTTCCAGTCATCTGTGAGCAACCAAGGCCCCAAAAGTTAAATGAGTAGCATAATGAAATCTTGCACCCTGTCCAGCTCTGCCTTGACCAGAAGTGAATCATCTTTTTGTCCAGTGTATTTATGCTGTTTATACTACCCGTCTGTTTGTTATTGCTGTTAATCTCTTACTGTGTCTAATTTATAAGTTAAACTTTATCATAGGTATGTATATATTGGGCAAAACATAGTCTATATAGGATTTGGTACCATCCAAGGTTTCAGGCATCCACCAGGAGTCTTGGAACATATCTCCTGCAGATAAGGGGAGACTTTTGAATATGCTACCTCCAGGGATTCATCCTAATTCTCCCTAACTCATCCTTAGATGCCTATAATGTCATGACTATACATTGTTGTTGTTGTTGTTATGTGCCTTAGAGTCAAACCCGACTCATAGTGACCCCTGTTTGGGTTTCCGAGGCAGTATCACTATGGAAGTAGATTGCCTCATCTGCCTTCCAAGGAGTGGCTGGTGGATTTGAACTGCCAGACTTTTGGTTAGCAGTCAAGTGCCTTAGGCAGTACACTACTACAGCTCCCTGACTAGTATATAAGTTAAATACATCCAACACAATAATTTTTATACTCATTTGTTTTTTGATACTCATTGTTAAATGATGTCCCCCATGTCTCTTCTGTGCTTTCTGTAACTAAGAATACTTTTATTCTAAGAACATCATAGTTCTTTCCTCAGTATGGAGACTAATACATATTTACTGATGACAGATCCCTCTTACTATAAAGAAAATTCACAAGGAAGTTAATTTCTTTCTCTTCTTCATTAATTCTCACTGTTGTCCTATGTCATTAATGAAAACAATAAAATTGCTCATGACTTAGAAGAATATAGAATGACATTAATGTTTTAAGACTCTGTAATTGACTGAACTCAAATGATGAAATATAATTTAGTATTTCATTTATTTTAAACTAATACCAATGCAGAATAAAATGTATACAGGGAGACAATTTACTTGCATAGGAAAAACTAGGATAAGGTTTTACAAATGAGAAGGAAGAGTAGAAATTTCTTGAGTTTGATACTAGATAATTGAAGAAAATATTTATATGCATGAGATTATTAAGAATATGAGTAATTTTTGTTTTTTATCCTTTCTTCTCTACTCTTTTGTCAAAACTGACATTTAAATCCTGTGGGATTGAAGACATTGGTGACTCCAATTAAATTAACAGCCTTTCTATAGCCTTGATCTTTGCCTAATAACTTTGTAGTCCCTTCCTAGTACAACTTAGGCTGGTCTTGTGACTTAAAATGGCCAGTAGAATGTGGCAGAAGTAATGTGACTGTTCTAGGTCTAGACCTCAAGAAGTCTTGTATGTTTCTGCTTCCTCTCTGACTTGTCTGTGGTCACCACAATAACCTGTCTGAATTAGTCTGAGAACAAACTATGGGTGAGAAGTTCCGTAGGAGAAATAGAGCAGAACTGAATCATACCAGCTATTGTAGATGACCCAGCTCTCAGTCGATCTGACCACAGACACATGAGGAAGCCCACTAAAATCTAATTGGTCTGGATCTGCAGAACCACTTGCCAACCTGTAGACTGATGATAAATAATAGTTGTTGTAAATGCTTAAGCTTTGAGAGGGTTTGTTACAGTGCACAAACTGATTGAGAATATATTCACATTATTAATTGAGTAAGATAATAGTTTAAAGTGTCACTCTTCCTAGGGGCAATTACATTTTAACAGTTGGCAACTGCTTGAGATAAAAGAATGTGATTTCAGGAAGATTTAAGTTTTTGGAAGTGAGCAGTGGAAATTTAGGGAATGCAGTGGAATTTTCCCGAGATAATAGCCTAATACTCTTCAGAGGCCAGAAATCACAGTTATAAAGAATGATAGCTTTTCGGTAAGATCTGTAATAGGTGATTACATGTATTCAAGATCTCAATATCATATCTGATAGACTACAAACTGTTGACCCCACATACTCACATTCCTCTCCAACCAGTCCTTCAGTTCTCCCATTGCTCTTCTTAGTCTTTCTCACTCAAGGCTTTCAGCTGTGCCCACCACCCACTCTTCTCAGGTCTGTTACTGGCTGTCCTTCTTCCCACCCCCACTCTACTGGCTATTGTCTCTGTTTTGGCATTGAACAGGTAAAAGCACTTTCAATGTGAGACTAACCTGGCTTCCAGTCCTTCTTCATTCCTAGTAGTTCAAGGTTCTTGTACAGGCTATGGGTTTAGTGTCTGTGCACTCTGGTGTTGCTCTCTGCAAAATGAGGTTAAGAAAAGGAACACAGCAAAGCTCTGTTCGCTTCCTCTCCATTGCTTAATCCTAACAGGTAAGGAAAGAAAGTTAATAGGTAAGGAAAAAGAGAAGTTATTGCTTCTAAGAAAGTTAGTTCAAGGTCCTTTAGATCATTGGTAAATATGCTTTGTACTGAGTTAGAAACATTGAGTTATGGGTCAAAGCTTTAGCAAATATTAACCCTCATTTTATTGCTCTGATATTAATAGCCAGAGAAATGAAAGGTTAGAGTTTACATGATGCAGCTGAATCCAAAGTCATGCACGGGATTAGAGGGGAAGCTGTAAATACCATAACAATTTGATTAACCAATTAGTGCTTTTTTAAACAATAAGGAAATTAAAAAATTCTACCTCCTACTCCATATTGGTGGGAGCTCTGGTAGCGTAGTGGCTAAGGCACTTGACTGCTAACCAGACGGCTGGCGGTTCAAACCCACCAGCCACTCCTCGGAAGGAAGGTTGGGCAATCCTACTTCCATAGTGATACTGCCTCGGAAACCCAAGGAGGGGTCGCTATGAGTCAGGGCTGACTCGACGGCACATAACAACAACAACAACAACAACTCCATATTGGTATAGAGTACAGCCACTCTTACTTATGCATCTCCTCATAAACCATATGGATGCTATTTCAGACAAATAAAGAAACTTGAAGGCCTTTTATAGGCATTTCATCAACCTGAATGTTTACTCTAGCCACTTCATAAACTCAGCTTTTAGGTAAAAAGCAGGGATAGGCTATTCAGAGGAGAAGGAAAGAGGGAAAGTTGAGGTAACTCTGTTGTTGTTGTTTGCCGTCAAGTCGGCCCTGACTCTAGTAACCACTAACTGGTATCCTAATGACATTGTATCCTAAAATAAAATGCCACCAGCTAGGTGTCAGAACACTTTCATTATTAGTTACGGGACTTTTCCTAAAATCCCTTATGGTCAGCTTCCTTATATGTAAAATGAAGGCTTGGAGTAAATCAAATGGTCTGTGGGATAATTTCTCTAACCTGTATGAAAGTTAAGGCGCTCTGGTGTGTGGTGGTAAGGCATTTGGCTGCTAACCAGAAGGCCAGTGGTTCATCCCACCATCTGCTCCATGGTAGAAAATGAGGCAATCTACTTCCCTAAAGATTTACAGCCTTGGAAACCCTATTGGGGTCTCTACAAGTTGGAATTGACTTCATGGCAGTGGGCTTGGTTTTGGTATTGGTATGAAAGTTGAGAACTATTGCATATATTTTCTGTTCCTTAGATTACTTTGAGAAAGTCTGCATTAAAAAAAATCTATTCAATTTTGTTAACTCAGTCTTAACCAAATAGAGATCATGAAAGCCTGGTAACACCCTATAGCAAGAATCTTGATTTGGAAATGTAAAGTTAGATGATTCTTAAGACTAGAAAATTGGACAACTCACTTCCGTGAAGATACAACCTCATAAACCCAAGGAGGGGTCGTTATGAGTTGCAATCGACTTGATGGCACTGATACATTCTTGAAGACATGATTTTTGGGAAAAAAGCAAGGATAAAAACTAAAAATTTTTAAAATATTGCTTTTGAACTTGTAACATAATTCTTTCTTATCCAGTCACTTGTTGCTCATGAGGCAAATATTCTCAGTAGATTTTCTTCTTACAAGTAAGAAGCTAAGAGAAAGGAGAGTGCTGAAGCAGTCATGAGTTTGCTACAATCAAAATAAATTAAAGGGGAAACTGCTAAACTGATACTGAGTGAAAAATCTTTCTCCTTTGTAATATTAACCCTTTCTAAAGAACCGAATAGATGTAGAGGTGAGGGGGGAAATAAATCACTGTACCAGAAACTACCATCTTGGAAATACTGCACCACCTAGTGGTTAATGAATCTTGTTTTAGAGACCAGTTATTTTCTTAAATGGTGGTTCTCAAGTTCTTTTCTTAGTAAGGAACCCACTACCATTGAGTCAATTCTGACTCATGGTGAACCTACAGGACAGAGTTGGACTACCCCATAGGGTTTCAGGGTGGCTGCAAACCTTTGCAGAGGCAGTCTGCCTCATCTTTCTACTGAGAAGCAGCTGATGGGTTCAAACTGCCAAACTTTTTGGTTAGCAGCCACATGTATTAACCACAGTGCCAGCAGAGCTCCTTTTTCTTTATAAAAGGAAGTAAAATACCCAGTCCTGTATGGTTCTGTATGTTTGGGCCCAAAGCATGTAAAAACAAGATTCCCAGATGATTCTGGTTTAGCTGATGGGTTTAAAACTCAATGCAGTTATTTCCTGTTTCTTTGGAAAAAAGCTTCTTGTCATTTGTATGATTTTTCCTTCCTCTGTCCTTTTCTTTCTTCATTGCAAAAGTGTTCATACAAGATATTTTACATTGTAAAATCAAGTGAATTGTGACCAATACTATTTTGAAATTTTCGGAGGTTTTGAGACATATTGAAATCTAAACAGGGAAGATAAAATGTAAACCAGTGCTGCAAATCACTG